AAAACAATCAAGATAATCCTACATAAATTGTTTCTTTTTGAATTTCGCGCAAAGCTACACGAGGGCTATCTGCGCTAGCCGTCCCTAATTTACCAGTGTAAGACTAGAGGGAAGGCAGCTAGTCATCACCACCCACCGCCAACTCTTGGTCTACTCTTTTACCAACGAATAGTGGGATTGACCGTCACATTATAACACCCCCACGGCTGAAAGGGCGAGCATGTTTGGTGTGACAGGGATTCGAACCCGTGACCTACCTAAATAATGTCGGCCATATACGTATGTTAGGCATCTTGGTCATAGAAGGGTAAAGAACAATAGATAGACTTTTAGGTTTGTTTGTTTTTTTTCCTCTGTTCGTTCACAGGTTCTTTACAATCTATAATATATATAACCTTATTATAAAACTTTAACAGCCAATCAGCATGTCTTTGGAGAAATAATTGAAAAAGACAGTCCAGCTCGTTTTAAGCGAGATTTGTAAATTTAAGAATTTCAACTGTTTTCGTAAAGTTTTCAGCCAAATTACTGGCAGACGAATTATGGACTGATAACAGTAACACGTTCCTATTTTTTTTTTTTATTTTCGCGCAAAGCTACACGAGGGCTATCTGCGCAAGCCGTCCCTAATTTAGAAGTGAAAGACTAGAGGGAAGGCAGCTAGTCATCACCACATCACCTACCGCCAACTCTTGTACTACTCTTTTTACCAACGAATAGTGGAATTGACCGTCACATTATAACGCCCTTACGGCTGAAAGGGGGAGCATGTTTGGTGGGAGGGGGGATTCGAACCCGCGACCCTCAGATTACGAGTCAAACGCCCTAATCATCTGGCCATTCCGGGCCGAAAACATGAACAGGTAACGTGTAAAAAAATGGCCGAGCGTTCAACTTTGCTACAGAGCATCTCAATGGGTGGTTCTTTGTTGGAAAAGTCAATTTTTTTCACTCTTTCTCTCTGTGTATATTTTTTAAATAATATATGACGTCAATTTTGTGTTATTTTAAGTGGTAGAGCTCCAGATTCTGGAGTTGGCCAATCGGATTTGATTTCGTGCGGTATACCAAAATATTGGGTGTGTTATAACAGTGGTAAGCAATCTCTTAGCGCATACGGTGGATGACTGGCTATCTTCCCTCTGGTAAGCAGTTCAACATTAGTTATGGCGACAGTAGCTTAGCCATAATTACAGATACGGAATATTATTTATAAATAGCTGGAGTACCCGTCCCCTG